TTTTTTTTTGTACAAAGAAGTTTTAGGATGCTTTTGAGAAAGCATTTCTTGGCCGCCTATTCAAATGAATAGGAAGTATAGATATGTAAAAAGAATTAGAGTTGTATCAGCATTTTTAGACCGACCAACGTGCAGTCAAAAAACTTCAAGAAATATTATAATAGTATTTCTTGCGTTTCTATTACCTAAAAGCTTTAGCTATATCTGATCTATATTTCTTATACTGAGCCGAACACCGGCACCGGTGTCCTATATAAATTGAAAAGAGCTTTTAATTGTTCAGAAGTATCTCAGTGTATCGCCCTAGGCGTTTTTGCACTGTATTGTCACTATTTTAAATTTTAGTTCTTTTTTCAAGTATTAGGATTAAATTTGGTCACCGCCCTGAATTTGTCAAGAATCCATTTTACTATAACTTGGTGCAGTTTTTGAAACAATTCTGTAACTGCCTTTTCGCTTTTTGCGTTTATGTGCTGAATAAAACACGAAAGAAAAAAAATTATTTAGATATAGGCACCTGACCACAACAGCGTGTTACAAAAAAGCCATAAAATTATTACCAACCTACGAAGCTTGTCTAAACGAGGCTTTTTCCCTGTGTCACGTAGTTTTAATTGTAAATGGTAAGATAAATTACATTTTTGCATTTCCTCATTACTTTCTGCATAATGCTTCTCAGCTAGATACCTTGGTTGTAAACCAAAAAGAAGTTTTACGCTTTTCTCAAATGGAGAGCATTGCACGTTAAGAGCTGCTTATTTTTATATTTATCTTGGTAATTTCGTTTTCATGATAATTTAGAAGCCTAAATAGAAGCATAAATACAAGCACAACAAAATTAGCTGCCTGGATACACGTATTTGCCTTGTTGTTGTCCTCTTGTCCGAATTCAGATTTATTCATTTTGATTTTAAAAAAAAATTGGACACTCGACATAGATAATAAAAAATAAGCATTTAAATTTTTACAGCTGTACTCAAAAACAGTCACTGTATGACAGAACGTAAGCTCTGCATTTCTTCTATAAAAAATTTTGCTAAATCTAATTTATCACCTAAAAATACAGCATTTTTAAGTATTCCTGATATCAGTGGAGGCCTGATTTGTTAAAAAATTGATAGTGGTGAATTGACTTGCAAATCTAATTACGTGTGTTGAAAAGCACTAAATAAATACTAATTTAGAGTAATTTTTTAGTTTCCCATCGAGAGGTTTTAGTGTCTAAATAATATAAGTTGATAATTTATTTCAAAGACGTTTTTGCCGCTTATTTGTTTTACAACAGGAAAGCTGCTTGCTTATTTTCAGCCTTGTTTCTAAACCATTTTATAGCACTGTGTTCAATTCTTGCAAAAAATTTTACTTTTCATTTTTTATTTTATTACTTCTCAAGGGAACTATGCATAATTTGTGGTTTAAATCCACAGAAAGGGAAGATCATAAAAAAATATAGTTACTTTAATTACTACACCCCCTCGCTTCTTGACCATTCCAGTGCCCTTAATTTATCTATTCAAGGTTTTCGCCATTAGAAGATCAACCGCAGCACGACGTTTGCCGCAGAAGAAGGAGGCAGTAAGTAACGGTGCTGATCAGTGTGCGATGAGTGTCTTACAACTGCTGTCTGCAGAAGTACAAAAGAGTCTTCAACACTGGTACTGGTACTCTTGTAAAATTTGTTTCTTTCGGGGCATTACAACTGATGAATATCCAATGTTTCACTCTTTCATTTTTTTATCCACAATTACTAAAAACAAGGTACAGACTGCTAAAAATAAAACAGTATTAATTTGGTTAAAATGCCTTTTTATTGAATAAACTTTCTCAAATGTCTTCTGTTTTCGCCCTAATACAGTTAAAGCACATTGAAAAATCCAATTTATTTTTACTTTTGCTGCATGAGTATTTGGTTTTTTACTCTTTTGCTCTGATTGTTGAGCCGATTTGAGATTCTATGTTGTTACGGCTCAACGACAGAGTGCCTGACAAAACAATTACTGAGAACTGTTTTATAATAGAATTTAACAAATGATTAAACACTTCAGGTAGTATTTTTAGTCAATAAGATTACGAAACATGAGTCTATTGCATCAATAAAAAAACTGCCAAGATAGCTGGTTACACCTTGGCAATCACAACGGGCATTCATTTTTTAGGTTTTTTCAAGTATAAAAAGTTATGATAAGATAAATTTAGAAAAAGATTTTTGTTTATATTTTTGCCATAATTAAAACAATTTTATTTGAGTTTTTGCACAGGCTGAAGCATCCAAATCAGTTTTACCTAAACTACTGCATTTATATATCTTGTGGTATTTAAGAACATTATCAATTGTTTTATCATTCCATTCTCAACCATATTTATGCTGCCGCATAAAACTGATGTTGCAGAAACTTATAGTACCTCTAAATTTTGGCTAAGACGACAAAATTGAAACTATTGACAAGGTGGAGGGGCTTTTTTGATAATAAAAAGCTGCTATGCCACTGTTTACGATGTTGATTGACCAGAGAAATTTTTTCAAAAAAATGAAGAATACTGTGAAAAAATTGGAAATGTAAAGTTTAATTACAATAACATTCAATTACAAGATTTGCGCGCTGTTCAAAAATGCGCATGTTTTTCAAATAAAGCAGCAACTAATACGGTAGCTAAGCAACTGAAAGCCATTTACAAATGTTCGTCATAGATAGAAAGGAGGAACAGAAGCTTTTTGTTAACAACATTTTTGAAAAGTGCCTATCTTTAAACTGCCGGACATACTTGACTACCGCCCGTCCAACAGCATCGAAAGATGAATGAAAGCAAAAGACTTGATTTTTGCCTAATTGATGTATCTTCATGTGATACTGAGCTTCAGGTTGATAACGAATTACTTCGATCTTCTGAGTGGATATCAGCAAGGTTAGGTTTAAATCCTTTTTTTATTACAGACGCTTTCGTGTAATTCATATCTGAAGACTTATTAAAACTTCATTTTTTGCCTAGTTTTTTCAACTTTTTTTTTTATTAAACGGAAAAGTTCCGGTCTTCAAAAAAGTTCAAATATAAAGTTGAATAGGTACTGTACTCTTAAATTGTTGACGATTTTATCTTCACGACAAAATCTGCATAAATGCTACTACAATATTATCCATCGTTTTTTTGCTACTAACCAAAATGCTTATTTAAGCTATAATTTTATTGTGAAAATGAAGTCAATACGCGCTTATCTTGGTTTCAGCCCTGGTTACTCAAAGCTTTCAATGTTTTTTTCCAAAATTTAACGTTCTTAAAATGGAAACTACACACTTCCGTGTACTCAAAAACCGCATTACTTGCGATTGCAGGCATTGTCAGTATCCTCAAACTATTGTTATGCAGTTAGCAATGAAATCAAAATTGGAAAAGATTCAAATTTTGTGTCATTCAGTCTACATTCGTAAGTACCTCATTATCGTTTTTAAACTGCAAAAATGCGTTGCGACGCTGCAACATAATATGAAATTGAGGGCCAAAAAAGGTTTCTGTATCATATGTTTTATCGTTTCTTTTATTAGCTAACAGTTAACGTTCACTTAACAACTGTAAATTTGTTACTAACATATCGTGCACTCAAAGATGAAGATTATTTCAGCTACTTTAATTGACCTTTACGCTATGGAAAACGATGACAATCCGAACGGGGAATTCACACATCTCGGGTATAACTTTTTACCCTCTTCTTAGTAAAACAGCTAACTTCTTGTCAATTTTTCAGTGTTACCCTATTGTTTCTCACTGCAAAAATCGCACTTAATTACTTCTTAGAAAAAGAATTACGTAGCCAAAATGGTCGGTCGAAACGTTTCAAGAAATTGAACGAGAAGAAATAAAAAAACGTTTTAGAAATCATTTGTTAAAAGTTTCCTCACTTTTAATAAAAAATCTTCGCTTTTAACAATATTAAATCTATTGAACGTTTTAAAGTTTTCAAAAATACACCATGTTTTTCTGCAAAAGAATTTTTATCTGCTCAATGTTCCTTAACAGAATAACGGAAGAACTGAAATTCAGTTAGCTGGTCGTAAGTTGTTTACTGTTGCATTCATTCACCAAACCTTTTAATAATTTTAACTGTTTAACGCCACAGTTACATTCGGCTTTTATTGAATACGCATAGTAGCTTTTATCTCTTTGGTCTTCGAAAGTTGTCTATGCTTAGCATATCAACAGAAGAGCCTAAAATACAGGAAAGACTATGGTTACATCCTATATGAAAACCGTTCATGTCGCATTAGAATTAATTCCCTGTTGTTTTAAAATTGTTTCTCTTTTCAACTTATTTCTTCGCCTACCAACTTCCACAAAACCAATAGTAGATATTTTCAGCATTGTGAATAATTTTCAGCATTGGTTTATTCAGCCAAACTTTTTGTCCACTGTACCAAATACAAGCAAAAACAGTGTACATTATACATTCGCACATAGAAGTATTATTATAAATGTAAAAATAATTATATATGCATTCACTCAGTTTTTCACTGATGAGTTTTCTCTGAAATTAAAGAAGTATTTGATTTTTAGATATTCAAAACTTTTTGTTGAACAAGGCAGAGATAAAACTTTAATATACCTGCGTTTCAGAGAGTAAAATCTTGAGTTTTTAGAGAAAGTGTCTTAAAGTTATGTCTTTCACAAAAGGTATCAAAACATCAACTGAACATCAAACATTATCAAAATTTGTGAATCAAGAAGTGTAACACAATGAAAGGTTTTCTTAAACAATTTCAACGTTCTGGCTCTTTAATTGTGTAAAGAGAACTAGAAAAAGCCAAATATTTGAAACATTCAAAGTTATATAAGTAAGCCGTTGAGTCGTGCTGACTCTCTGAATAAAGTTGGAATTCTTTTTTTACACTTTCTCCTCTCTCGTTCCTTGCTGCTTAGAGTGGCTTTGCTGCAGTTTACATACTATCTTCTACCACATGAGTCTCGAAAACCTTTGGTGAGGAATATTTACATCACACTTGAGTAATAAGGTCTTGCAGTAAATTTATGTTAAACAGTGACAGTTAGCAACACTATAAAACGAATACAACAATATTATGAGAAAGCTACTTACCTGTGTAAAAAAATTGAGGTTTAAGAAACAAAGAGGTACAAAAGATTAATATATTATTACACCTGCAAACTTCTGTTGCTGTTGTACCCTCCCCTCTTATTTCCTGCTTCTGTCCTTCATCCACGTTCAATGGTCCTCGCTGACCACTTCCACTGGCCAAAAATCTCTTCAATTAGGAACGTTCGTGCTGCACGTGAGATTCTTTGTCATATTCTCCCGACCCTCTGAGCTGGGGTTATCTAATAATACCTCAGGCTTGCTGCACTGATAAATTTCTATCTTGGAAGTATAAGATAGTTGTCGTTTCTTTTTTGTTTCCCACCAGCAAGGCTTAAAGAACTCGTTTAGAGGCAGAGGAAATTCTACTTTTAGCTCTGCTCAGCACTTTGTAACTTCTGATGCTCCTCAATACCTAATTTACAATTCTGGTGTTTGAGAAGCAAAAAATTTCTTTCTCAAAAATATTTAAACAAATAAGTTATTTGACGTATCACTTGAAAGCTGAACTCTTTTCTGAAATTTGTCATCAATTAATCCTGTGCTTAGTACTCATTTTTTGTTTTTTGTTTTAAGCTTACCTCTTACGAGCTAAAAGTGTATGGAAACAATTTAAAATATCATTTGTAAAAAAACATTGCAATCTAATATTAGCCAGTTTTTATGTTGATTAATAAATGTTGTAAATTTATATATAGAAGCGAAAATCTTGTGCTTCTGACAGGCATCTATTCAAACTGTAGAAAAATAACAATGAAGATGATTCTGCAACAAATGTCGTCTTCAGAAACCCATTTTATGACAACTCGGGAAATGGGTCGTTAACAACTGTTTTGATAAGGAAAAGATGTGGTTTGAAGAAATTACGTTTCCCAACATCCAAATCACTTCTATCCAAGAACCATTGCCACTTTAAGCTTATTTCTACTTATCTATTTAATCAACCGCTGTATTGCAGAACTGTTCGCTTCAAAGAAGCACATAACACGAAGGAAAAAACAGAACTAAAAACTATTTTCACAGATGTTGTTACAAATTGCCTAAAATTTAAGGTACATGAAAATTATGTTGATGATGAAAGAAATCCATTTAACAAGGTAGGCTTAAATAAATGTACCAAATAATAAATTAATTTTTTTTACATAAATTGTCAATAATAATAATAAATTTTTTTGAAACTTTTCTTTTTCTTCTAATTTATTTGCTATTTTTATTGTCAAACTGTATCGAAACAAATAGATAAAGTATTAATTTTAGGTAGGCTTAAAGTTGGTTGCAATGTATGGTAGCTATATATACGCTAACGATGCGGAAACAGAGGTATCTCAAGATGATTTGAGCTCAGTCAGTAGAAGCACTTCGCCGAGGCTTACTTCAGCAAAGGAAAAGTTAGTCTTATCTGGCAAAAAAGTTTAAATAATTCTATTTTATTAATCTGTTTTTTGAACCGAAAACCAGTTTATTAGCGCAGTAATATTTGTAGGCCACTGAACGTAAAATTGAGAAGAAGAAGCTTAGTTAGGCAGTCTAGCGCGATAGGCGAGCTGGATGACAAAATGGCGATGCTAGAAGAGCAACGCCACGCTGCATTACAAGTTTGCTTCATTTTTT